ATTTAAGATACGCTGCAGGTTTCTTCTCTATCCTCTTGACAATGTCCCTTGTTTAAATTACTCGTTGAAGGATGGCTAAAGCTTTACCAAAAGGGCTTACCCTGGCCTACCTCTCACCATCAAAGGTGGCATTGGGCCAACTGCAGTAAGATGAGCAGTCCCTTTCAAAGGGAAAAAAAAATCCTTTCTGTTCCACAATTCAAGTCGTTACTGCCAAAAGGAGCTTCCAATCCTCACTTGACCTGTCACAGAGACTTTCCATGCGGGATTCAACTGGCACTTTGTGTGCTTGTGATTGTGTTACACCTAGTTAGTCCTTCTGGGATTAAGATAACAAATTTCATAGGATTTTAAAGCAAGATTATCAAGCCTGTCTTCTCAAAGTCTTTCACAAAGTGATTATTAAGACCTGGCAATAACCTCGAGTTTTATATACACTTTGAAGATAATCATCTTTGTCAAGAGAAATCAGGTAAGTCGATATTAACTATTCCAAATCTCGGTGGTTTCACATGTCCTTGGAAGAAGCCATTTCAACGATGCTATTAATGCTTGGTAAAAATGTAGAAAATTAGACGTATTTTTATTAAATGTATAGTTATTACACTTTATTAAATTCTCATACAAATAAATCTGAACTTAAAAAGTAGTTGTAGAAATGTCATGAAGCATGTAATTGTAACATGGGTATATTTTTACGTTAACGTGGAATATTTCTTTAGACCTGGTGTATTTTAGTGTGCTTAAAATGACAGGTGACCTTTAGATGTTGAAACTGAATGAAGGTAAGGAAATTAATATTCAAGGACTTTCCTTTTTTATTTCTGTGTTCTCTTAAATTCTGTCCTGCTCTGTTTAGCATGAAGACACAAGAAAACTATTTGATATCTGATTGCACTCTGTTTGTACAAGAAAAATTAAAACAATTCAGATGTCATGTTTACTTGCCACATTAACATGAGTTCTAATAAAGCACAGCTAATAAATACATTGATTTAAGACTTCTGTTAATCCAAAGAGGTATTTAATAAGAGGTCTTCATGAGTGTACATGGGTAATCTGAACTGGATTAAAATCTCCAATTCACCAGTTCAGGGAACTCTGGATCAAGAATTCTACGTAAAATGAATTCTACTAATATCATTCAGCTTAAAATAAACAGAGGGGGATTATCATATCCAGTAGAGGTGAAGGAGAACTTGTAACTAAAGGCTTGACCTTCAGCCTGTGTCAGATAAATGTTTGGAAGGAAAATATTCACCGAGTCAGTTTATGGGATTAGTCTATGTGCTCATGGGTGTGTGGCACCTGTGCTTTTAGTGCCTCTGAATCTCAGCATGTTTGGAAATGGAGATTGTTAGAGATTTCGAGCTGGCGTACAACGACAGTTTCATATTTGCAATCTGGGCATGTATTTCAGTCATCACAGCAGTGTCACTTATGTTGGAAGAAAAAGACCTACAGTTACAAAGTAATAAAGTCTGTCCCTGATGGATAAAAACTAGATATCAGATAATCAGAGTAATGCAAATATGGATCGTATCGTAAGAGTTAATATTACTAATATCCACATTGCTGAGAGATAAGATATTTCAGGCAGCAGTTTTAGGAATATTTGTCACAGATGGCTTTGAAATTTAGTTGGACAGCATAAATATTCAGAGAGTTAATGCTGGGAAAACATTTGGAAGCAGCTAAAACCTAATGCTTCAAATTTAAATCAGTGTCTACCAATAAAGGAGTAAGGGCAGTCGGTTTTAGAGTTAGCTAGTATTGAGATTTCTCTGCAATTTCTTTTTAAGCATTTTGTACTGACCAGAGGACATCACAGTGCTAAATCTGGCATTCAGGAAAAACAAACCCTCCCATGAATGGAGGATTTTCCATTCATTTTATACCAACATTATTTAATATTTATTTGCTACAAGTAGAACAGGATTTGGCTTATTATGATCCATGCTTCCAGGTTATGTTTGCATGTTGTCCCAGTCATCAGATATTTTGCTTGATTGAGTCTGTAGTGTGTAATCACACCTCAGTTTAATGTGGGTGTTATGGCCATGCTAATGTCTTCTCTGAATCCCTGCTGCAAATCAGCGTCGTATCCGGAGAAAATTGTGTGTGTTGTTTAGCGTGGAGGAGCAGCTCAGCAGGGAAGACAGCAGGGAGCTGCAAATTCAGGTGAGCAAGAAAGCATCTCAATGTGCATGGGTTGCTTCCAAGCACAACGTTGTATCTCACTCTCTTTCAATTTTTTTTTCTATTTTTATTTTCTCTCTTTCTCCTAAGGTGCTTTGGTAGGATAGCTCCTTCATATGTCAGTCTTCTTGCCTCTTCTCTATCTCTTGGGAACATGCTGTCTCTAGCCCTGCTCTAGCCTGCTGCACAGGCCTCTGTCAGATGATTTTCCTCATCCAGCTACCATGAGCAGCTCTGGACCAGTTTAAACAAACAGTAATGAAGTTACATCCCTGATAGGAAATTATCTACCATCAACCTTTCTACTTGTGAACCTTTGTAGAACAGCTGTGCTTGCACATCATTCTGTGAGACACTCTTACCAAGGATTTCAGTGTTAGTCCAAGCATGATTCACTGCTCACTCGAGAGACTCCATGTTCTGGAAACCAAGTCTTCGCATTCTGGCACAAGGACTGACCACCAGTATGTGGGGGCACACTGAGGCAGAGGATGTCCTCTCTGTCCATCTCCTAGATCTGAGCCTCTTGTTAGCCATACAGCTAACACAAAATCCTCACGAAGGGCAGAGGTTTGGGCTCTTTTGCCCATCTGGGCAGCAGAGACCTTACAGCCAAGACCAGCCTTGTGCCGAAGGGACAGTACAGTGGCAGCACTGCTTTTGGCCATGTTTCATGTTGATTTCACTTGGGCTGGTGTACACAGAGACAACGGCTGTGTAGCCTGACCACACTCTATGTTCAGGGAATGGGTCATGAGGAACCTAGTCAGGGGGAGATCTGTGGTCCATAAATATTGAATCATTGTCATGAAACACAGCTCATCGTAACGTAGATCTTCCAAAGCTAAGGAGACAGTCAACTTCTCATAGTACAGTAAAAAATATTTGTAAAGTTCCATTAAAAAAACAGCAAATCATCTGACTGCTGACCTCAGTCAAACACACAACCCAACAGTTCCCCCTTAACAGGACACTTAATTGACTAGGTGCACCAGCCACTATAGCCCTCCTGTTGCAAAACATAGGTAGCTACAAACCTCCCCTTGTCACGATCTCCTGACTCTCTATCCCACAACCCCGACTGACCTCAGAGACTTCTCTCCCCAACAGCCACCTCCCCATACCTTTGCAAAGCACCAGTTCTTCAAATTCAGCACCGCTGAGGACCATCTTTCACTAACTTCTCTCCATTTCATTGGGGTCAAACCAAAAAGGGAGGAAAAAAAATATAACATTGAGTACAATCCATAAGCGTGGATTCGGTTTATATTTACTTCAGTTCAGGCTACATCACCACTTCTTCCATCGTGTCAGCATGTTAGCAGACTTGAGCTACCATGCTACAGTCTCTCCTAACTACAGAGTCCACAGGTCCATAGAAAAAGCTGTTGCAAGACCCAATAAGCTTCATGATACTGGTTGGTGGAAGCAGGATGCCTTGACAGGGTTTCAGGCCCTGTGATTCTCATGTCAGCAATATATTCATGGTCTGTAGCCTAGTTATTGGTCAAACAACAATATTGTAGCCCAAATATTGTTGCAAGAAGAGCCAAGCTTAGGATTTTTTTATGCTGGACTGGTCCATGGGACACTGGACTCTGTCCATGCATAATTAGCCCAGCTCACAGAAAGGTGATGGAGCATGAAGTTTGGAGAATGAGATTTGACCACGGCTTTCCCTCTGTCTCAAGCCCACTCTTCTGCACATGCTGTGCAGAAACCATGGATGAGTACAGGCTTGGGGTAGAGCAAAAAGGGTGAGGCAGATGGACTGAATAGATAGGATGAACTGCCTAAAAAGCTTCTCAGAGCTTTGTTTGAATTAGCAGAGCTGGCACTTAATGTTTTTGACTCATCAGACTAGCAAACAGACATTTCAAACACAGAAATGCTTGGTATCGTTTCATCATCCCAAGAACTGCTGAGTACAAATTAGCTATTTTCAGAATGTGTTAATTCTCTAGTGAATTAAATATGAGAAAGATTTTAAACATGATGATAATAGTTTGTTAATCAAACAGTATTATCTTCAAGATAATGGTTTGCTGCGTACTTGCAAGATTAGCTACTCTGAGAAGATATGAAAAAAAATGTTGAATGCTCCCTCATTTTCTAACAGAGCTATTTGGCATGTTCTAATATTAGAAAAACAGCAGAAACATGTAGAGAAGCAAAGACTTTCCTTCTTTTTTTTCTAATCATCTCTAATTAAATCTTTGAAACCTGGAAAACAACTCATGATCTAGAAGGCAGAGGATCATTAATCCCTCCCAAGCAACTAGGCAAGGCAGCACAGGACACAGCTCTGTGACAATAACTACAGAAATACAAGACTAGGGATGACGGGGCAAGCAACATTTCTGTAGAAAAGGAGCTCAACAGATTTCTGACCAGAAATAAAACATAAGTAGATTTTATCTTGTTTCAACAGAAAGGGTGTAGGCATCTGACATGTCAGCGTGCTTCGAGCACAGCTCATCCTGCCAGAGAAGTGGACTGTGTAGATGACCTTACCAAGCCCCACTAAAGCCACCATTACATAGGACTCAAAAATCAAGTTACACACTAAGCTTGTGACACCCGTGCACACACAGAAAATACTGATCGTGTGATTTCTGATCCTTTGCCATTTACACAGCCAATCTTTTCTCTATATCCTAGAGAGATACTAATTCTGCCAAGGTCACATCATTTTGGGACAAGAGTTGCACAAAATTGTACAATACCGCAAACTTTAACACCATCAAAATATTATTTCTTTCTCCTAGGGCAGCCAAACCTGCTGGAAGTCAGAGTCCGTAATGCAGTGGTTCTGCTGGCATGTGGCGGCGAAGATGAGCTTGGGATTTCTGTGTCTCTTTCTGGTTTTCAACACAGGTAAGAACAATGGTTTGGTGCTCCACAGGGAATAATTTAGGTGTCTCTTTCCCAATTTCTCCCACAGCCCCATTCCAACATCTGAGGCAGGCTCAGTTCTTTCACCCTGTGTAGGCAAGACGGATGGGCTGGAGGTCCAGGGCTGGTGCCATGCAGCAGGGTAGACCCAGATGATGGCAAAGGTCTGTTCTTGGATCCCATGCCATGAATCTGTAGAAGGGTTAGAAGAGCTCCTACCACATAGATTGTCAGTCCAAATTCAGCTCATACTAAGGGAGAGTTGTTAATACAGCTGACTAGCGCTGTATAAGGAGTCATGATTCACAGGCCTTGTACCATGGATTGTCTATAGGGTATTTTTCCTTTATATGTGTATATATATACAAAAAGAGAGAAGGAGAAAAAGAAATCTAACCACGGATTGTCTTCTGTACAAAGCATAGATTTTTGTACGAGTAAGAATAAGCACCCAGGTTTCACCAGTGTAGGTGCAAACAGCCAAACATCTCTGCTTCTTCTGCTGCTTCCAGTTCTACAGATTTCATTATACTGAAGAGAAAGCTGAACCCAGGTTTCCTACTCCATCACCACTGGGGTGAGCCCTCCTCACCACCAGCTCTCAGGAGAGGACTTCTCTCTGGGGAGCTTGGATGAACTGAGAAGCTGAAGTTTTGGAGGCGCATAGGCGTTTAGCATTTGTTAGCATTGGCTCATTGATGGAGCCTTCTGAATTACTCTTTGGAGGCACTCAGCTCTCCACTGATGGGATAGGGAATCTAAGCATCAAACTTCTACACTTCAACTTGTCCTGCAATGTCTAAATCTCTGCTGCGTACCTTACCCTTGTTGGTCATGAAGGCAATCACAAGAAGCAAGTCCAACCTCCTGAGCCAACTCCAGTCCATTCCTCCTGCAACACAGCTCTTGAGAACAGTACTCAGTTGAATGACTGCTCTGAATAACAAACATGCACACAGCTTGTGAACATTTGTTTAGATTTGGTCTTATTACACTATGTACCTTGCAGTCAATGTTGTGTGCAAGCCTAGTGCAGATCTCTGCAACAGCTTGCTACTATATTTTTCTTTTGATTCTTCGGTTCAGAGGGCAATCTCAGCTATTTAATCGTTTTTTTTTCTTTAGCTATCAGTCCTTTAGGATATCCTTATTCCTAGTCTCTTGATGAGCTGCTGTTGTGGATACTTGGGTGCTTTGCAGTGCTGATGTCCATCATTTCCTGAGCTACAATGAATGAAAGCAGCAAAGCGACTCAGGCAGAGAGCTGAACAGAGAGTTGCTTGGTATCTCCACAGGGAAAACTGTTTCTCAGTCTCTTTCTTCACTTCACAGCTTCATGCATAAGAAGAGAAAATAAGAAAGAGAAGCAAGTGGCAGTGCTGGCTACTGCAGGTAACGAGCAGCACATCAGGAGACCCTGTGTGGGAGTGTTAATGGGAGCAGGAGGTATTGTGCTGGGCATGGACGTGTCAGTGTAGGGGTCCTTCTACAGAGTTTGTGAGCCTCATCCCATCACTGCTGCAAGGGCTCCTTACCTAAACCAGGGTTTACCCAGATCCCTGGCCAGTTTAACCTCTGTCCTTCCAGAAATCAAAAATGTTGTTTTTCCTTTTTCTTTTCTCTCCTTCCTAGCTCTTTGTTCCATTTCATTTTCCTTTCCTCTCTTTTACGCTGTGGACAAGCCCTGCTTCCAGCACTAGGGTTCAGCTTGGTTTTGAATTGGTTAAAAATAATACTGACGTCATTAGGAAAATTGTATTTCTCCCCAAATTCAATTTTGTTCTCATCTCGGCTTTCTTTGCTTCTTTTTCCATCCTGCTCTGTTTTTTCTCTCTCTGTCATACATACACAGACCTTCCTCTTCACACACATACAGATACTGTGCCGCTCTGCTTCTGCATGACTTTGTGGGAAGGCAGTAAAAGAACATATTTGGAAATTTTGACTTGGGGAAAAACAAATAAGCAATGTCAACGGAAAGAAAACATGTTAAAATAAAAAGTGTGATTAAGCTACAGGCAGTTTATTCTATGATAGAAGTGTAACTGTCAAGGTAGCTGGAAAAAAATAAAATCTGTATTTTCATCCCAGTTCCGTGTAGCACTGGGGAAGGGGAACATTTCCTAGGCAGTTTCTCCTCCATTTGTGAACTGCAAAAAGAGATCTGCTGCAATTTCGGCAGTAAATGCACATTGCCCAGCACGAGGTGGCACCAGAAAGTCAGGGCTGGCTTTGTCTCCCTGGCAGCCTGCTCAAGGGCATGCTCAAGGGAAGAGGTGACATAGAGCCCGACCTAAATTTTGGCCTGCCAGATTTTCCAGATTCCTCTCTGTACTCCTAGTATCTTTATTTTCTCACCATGAGTTTTGCCACGCATCCCAATACATAATCTGGTCATTTTGTTTTTCCCATTCTGGAAGATTTTTGCCCTGTATAAGCAGGGGTTTAACAGCCATCTCCTTGCACCCTCATGCCACCTGCTACTCAGAGATCCCTTCTTTTTCAGAGCTGCCTGCAAAGTCCGTGGATCTGGCTGCTATTAACCTGACAGAGCTGGTGAATGGTATGCTGCACACAGCGCTCAGAGGTAATGTGCCAGGCTGGGCAGGTCACGCAGGCTGTCAGCCTGGCGGTCAATGAGATAAAGGGCTAATGGTTTTAGAAGGAGAAACCACAAATGAGTGCCCTCTGCCTCCAGAACTGATTCCAGGAGGACGTTAGCTTTGTGCACTTATAATGCAGATAGCTGTCTGCCCCAAAGAATTTAGAAATTAGTGTGTGTTTATATATAGACACAACATAATTACTTATGGGATTCCTTTAGAAAGCACTTTATAATCCAGTGTAGATTCAAATTAAAAAAAAAAAAAAAAGTGGTACAAATGATCCTTCTTCCCTCAGTGGAAATAAGAAAGAATTGAGTCTCAGGCAGCTGTATAGTATCAACACCCCAGGAGTATTTTAGAAATTAAATGAGCAGAGTCAAAACATGCTGTTCTCATAATTTGTTCCAACCACTAATAGCAAGGGGCATGTGTTTCTGCAGGTACCAAAAAACTCTTCTCTTTGCTGAGCGTCACGTCTTACAGCTCATTTGCCTTCCACAAAGTGTCAGTCACCATCTACAACAGTGAGTGCCTCGGTGCTCTGCTCCATGCAGGAGCATTCTCTCTCACCCAGTCTGTGCATCCGGATACTGATTTTTCTCTGTTCTCCTCACAGTTTCTAACGTGAAAAATGTTGACCCTGGCAAGTTCCCTGTGCATTACTGCTACTGTTTGAACAATGTGACAAACGACTTGACAGGTGGGTACAGAAGAGAGGTTGGCAATTGCATGTGCTTAAGTTGAATTATTTCCTTTGGAGCTGGAAGTTGCAGGCTGAATTCTGAAGACTTCATCCTTATGAGCAACATCGCCACACTGAGGTCAACAGTCGTGACTCACAATGAGCAGCTGCTCTGAACCTTGGGGAAGACTCGAAGAACTCAGTCCCACTTGACTGCATTCAGCCAGCCAGTCTGGGATGGAGCCATCAGTTAAGTGACCAACATGGTTTGCTCAGTGAAAAGACCTCCCTTTCCTCCTTGGAGTACGAACAGCGGCACAGGAGAGACAAACCGGCAGTGTATGATACATTAACTTAGCCACTTTCACTCCCCTGAGATAACCCACAGGAGATGAACAAGGCCTTCTCTTCACCAACAGACTCTGATAACTGCAATGAGCCCAACAGGAGTGTAAAGCAAGGATTAATATCTTCACAGAGATGTTCAATGGCCTACAAAATGTTGTTGGGCAAATCCTTCACCTATAATCCTCATTCACACCCTTGGTCTCGCAGTATTTAACATTCCAGGATGGGTCTGAGGGCTTTAATTCTGTGGCTGGCTGATGTAAGGTATCAAGAGTAACTCAGCAGCTAGGGACCACAACCGTATCCGCAATGGTTTTCATGGCTTTTTCTGGACCCACACATCTCATAAGCCTTACTGCATAATGACCCACTCTGCCTTGGAAGATAATGGAGAAACTTTAATCTTTCTGCCCCAAATCCAGAATATCTTGGTGATTAGAGCATCCTCCCAAGTAGTAGTAAAAATTCAGGGTCCAAAACGTGGCTCATGTCTGTCACTCCCTAAGTGAGAAGATTGACCTGTTACTGCTAGAGCCTGTTGGGAAAAAGTCATAACACCACACCACCTCTAGCCATTTTTTGAGCTGACGATAACATCATCAGTACATCTAAAGTAGACCTCAGAGAAGACTGTCAGATGCCTCCTGGAAGGTGCTACGCAGCAGACAGTGCAGGCAAAGCCTACAGACTTTGGATCTCCTTCTACATTAAGAAAACTGAGTGTTAATTTAAATTGTTCTCTTGAACAGATAAATTCTGTTTAAGTTTACCTTTTGGCACATTGATGCTATTTTGGATATCGTCTTTGAAATATACTTCTGCAGAGTATTCCAGTGGCTTCCTAAGTCCACTGCCATTTAGCAGAAACATTTTGAACTTTAAAATATTTTAAACATTGTCATAAACAAGCATATATCCAGACTATGATCACATTTAGAAGTGATTTTTTGACTTAGCATAGATGATAGAATATGTGTTTTCAATCATGAACTTTCTCTGTTTTGTTGTCTAGATTTTACAGCTTTACTTGTTGATATTATTGGAAACTCCACCAGTTATCTCACAGAAATTTTCAAATCCACTTCTATTCTCTCAGGTTTGTGTTTCCTTTTAACTTTTATCATTGTCTTGTTTGTCTGGTTTGCTCCTGTCATAGAAACAAGCACAGAAATCTGTATAAAAGCCTATTGCTCTTACTCAGCAGCATTTTTATTGAAAAAAAAAATGGACTGCAGGTGTAAAAAAAGCATCCTTAGAGGAACAAGATGCCTATATAATGTGTATATATATAATATAGAGACATACACATTTCTATGAACAGCTCTGTTTTGTTTGAAAGTTTGGTGAATTATTATTAAATACTGTTTTTTTTGAAAATTATTATTCCCAAAGATTAATTATGGGCTATATTATCTGAAGAATTTTTTTTCCCATGTAAAAATGCTAGTAATTTAGAATTTTAATTAGATAGAAGCATTTCCCCTGCAAATATTAGCATTTGGATTTGGTGTTGGTTCAAGGTTTTTTTTTGTCAAAATCAGATCAGAATGAAAATACTTGGCCAGTTGTAGTAGCCACATACCATTTTGTGTTCATGTTTAAGATAGTATCATATGGTGAAAACTGGTAACAATGACTTGTTTTATGTTTTTTTTGCCTTTCAGTGCGTCAGAGCAATGATTCAGATTGTATCTACATCTGTGTGATGACAGGGCAGACAGGTAAATGTTAAAACCGTTCCACCAAAAAATATTGCCTTATTTATTCTCAGTGATGACTTATGCTAGAAACAAGCTTTTCTTGATGCTTGTAAACATTCCTATTTGCAGGGAGAAATCTGTCTGACTTTTGGGATATGCTGGAGAAGTCTCCTGTTATTAATTACACATTTTCCAGTAATACATCTTCTGATGTTGGTAAGTACATCTTGGGGAATAGAAGGAAACAGCAACAACAAAGAAAACCACATCCAGGTAACTCTTGCAATGAACAGTTCATCTTCATAATACAATTTTTAAAATATAATTTTATATTATTATTATGTATATATATGCATTATTATATACTTATTAAATAGATGAATATTTTATATTATTGTAAGTGTAATATAATATTCATATTATAAACATAAGTAAAATGTACAAATTTTTAAATTATTAGCTATGAAATCTTCTAGTGGAAGAATGAACAAAACATCCTGGGATGGGAGTTTTTACAGAATTCAGAACAAATTATCGCTAACCTTAACGTGTTTACCTTCAGAAAGGAGTTGAATATATTCAGCCAGTTTAAGGCATGGCTCCTCTCTCCAAAACTGCTTTTCCAGATTGAGCTGCACATCAGACGCTCATGTTTCATTGCTGCCCATGACTATTTCTCATTTTCAATGCTTGATTAAAAAAGGCAGACAGTGAAACCAGTGAGAAGTTTACCTGTGCTGAACCCTGTAGGATGCTTCAGTCCTTTGAAAAAAAAATAAAAATCAAAAGACACTTTGCCAAAAATGACTTTGATTTAAAAATACAGCAGCTGTTTCTTTTATACCAGGACCTGATTTCTTTCCTTTTTATCACCCAATATGCGATGGATGGTGAGTGCACTAACCCTATCTTCTCATACCTCAAAGATCTAGATTCCATTTTTCCAAGTTTTATGAGATTACAGGAAGACCCAAAGAAAATAGTGGATCCATCAGCAGAACACGTGTGGACATTTGAAAGTGAGCAAGTATTGTCAGACATAAATTTGTATTCTTCTTGATTAATATCTTGATAAGTGGTCACGTATGTTTGCAGCACAGCACTGTGACATTGACCTGCAGTTACAGAGTAAGAAAAAGTTTTGTCCTAAATAGCAGAAGATCATGTTAGTAATGCACTGAATAGCTGGGGAACAGAAAAACTATTCTAAAAAGCCCTTTTTTAAAAGTAAAAAGAACAAAAAAGATTATTTCTTTTAAACCAAGAAAAAGATAGTTCAAACCATTTCCTCTCCTTTCTTATTGTAAATTTTTCACTTTCTTTCTCCATCTTTGACTTTATGTAACATTCAGTTGTAAGTACCTGAACATTTCATAAGCTTCAATGCATTTAACTTTGCCACAAAGCTACAAGACAGAAAAGTGTTAGTCTGCCTCATTTTGAAAGCAGAAAAGCAAATCTTCACACTCGCTTCCCCGTAACAGGAGCAAAGAGAAATTCCGAATTTTATTTCATACCTCCTCATCACTGCAGCTGCCTCTGTCTACAACAGAATTTCTACATTTTCTCTAGTCAGTCTGCTGTCTTTGTATAAGCTCTTTTATTTCGCTCAACTGCATACCAACCTTTGTTATCTCTTCCAGCCCCGAGTGTCACTCCTTGCACAAAATGTCATCAGTTCTCAAACTCAAGTATCTGCCCTCCAGTACCTACTTGCTCCCCTTCACATCGACCGGAGCTTCCATCTCTTTCCTCTGTAGTGAAGCAGTTTAGGAAATAAAAAATAATTTATGTGAAGAAAAAAAACCCACAGGCCACTTTGCAGGGACATGTCAGTTTCTTTTTTTTTTTTTAATTAAAAATTTAAAAATATAATTGTTTTAATTAAAACTCACACATTAAAATGTTCTCTATTGCATTAAAATGTTCTCTGTTAAAATTTTTAACATTATTGGCACTCCCCATGCTTCCATTTTTGAAATGAAATGGAGAGGTGGCCAGCCACTTGCCAGAGAAAGCACTCAAGGAGTATATGGGATTTTCTGGGTATGTTTTGGATATTATTGTCCTCCAGTGTGTTACACTCGCTGCTGCTCTGGGGCACCAACATCCACAGCATGCTGCTGGTGCTCTCCCTCCATCTCTGTCTCTCTTGATTCTCCAGCTACCAGGATCCCTCTTGCCCAGAAAGGGGAGGACATTCCCACCACAAGATTCCCACTATGGCCAAAGACGGTTGGAGTGAAAGGATCAGGGTTTCCGTCACCGCACATGGACGCTTCCAGACCACGAGGCACAGCTGGATCCCCTCTGACTGTTGGGGGTAGCTTGGCCCCATCGTCAACCCCACAGCCCAGCCCCAGTGAGTATGACGAGGAGGACTGACACCCTCTCACAGTGGGGTTTGGCCAAAAGCTGAAACCATATCTCTGAGGTTGAGGTTGGGAGGCCCTTCAGGGAGACCCACGCTGGGTCACTAGTGAGTGGATTTTTTTATTGTAAAAGTGCTAAAATGAGTTATAAGGCCCATCAGTAGTTTCGTATCCTTTGCAGAAAAACTAAACCTTGCTCCTCACAGGTGCCTCTGCCACCCAGGTCTTCATTCACATTTTGTTCCACATACAGTAAGCAGACTTATGAAAAAGCAATATAGAACTGCTTCTCTTAGTCTCTGCTGAACATACTTTCTTTAAATCCTACCTTTCCCTAGCCCACGGACTTTTCAAGATCTAGCAAAGTACAACTTTTGTCACAACTTTTGTCCTTCCTTTTTCATCTTGACATTTTTCTATGCCACTGGAAGTACTGGGTGAGAGACTCTGGCTGTTGAGATGTCTCATACATAGCAATTCTTCTCAGCAGACAGATAAATAACAAATATCCTGGGTGACACGAAGCATGTGTCTTTCCGTTCCCACAGCTGACAAGTATGCCTTTTGGATGCAGACGGTGTCTCCTCAAGAAACCAGCAAACTGATGCCAACGGAGCCAGGTGAAATTGATCTGGGATAATAACAAAGTGTGTCAGTGGGCACATTAATGAAATAGCAAATAGCATATATAGAAATAGGTGACTGTGAATGTATTTATACATTAATGTCTAATGTCTATGTTCTGTTATTCTTTCAATCAACCTTCTTTTCTTTTTTTTCCCTGTTAAGATGTCAAGGCAACTTATGTTCTTTTCCCTCCTTCAGATTTGCCTTCCTCAGTACTGTCAATGCCAGCCTACAGACCTGGTGTGACACTCAAACTTTACTCAGCTACCAGTAAGTCGCTGCATCTTGTGCAGCAAAAATAGCAGTATGCTTGAATGTACATCAATATGCAAATTTTCCCATGCAGAAACAACATACTTGTTTAATTTACCTGATATCTTACGTACGTAAAACACCCAAAATGTATAGGGGACTGCTTCCATATTAGTTTGTGAATCACACACAATCACACATTCAAAACATAAATTATATTATGATAATAGAATTAACATAGGTACTCCATGTGTCAGTTTTAACATGGATTGGTTATTGGAGAATCTTAAAATTAATTTATTCCAAAGGAAAGTATCATGCTTTAAATCTCTCCGTTGTTACAAATGAAATGATTAAGTCAATCCATGTCACGTGAAATCTCCAGAATCGTCCTGAATTTACAATACTGCAAACTTCTTCAGCTAAAGATGGATCATCATCAATCAGATTTTCGGGAAAGCTCAGTTTTTCCTTTTAAGCACCAAAATAGTTAGAATTTAAGAGCTCAGCATAGTAAATATACGATGGTGTGCCCCACCACTTATACTGATGTTGGCAATAAAAGTATATTTACATATAAGTATTTAGTAAGAGGTTATATGCTTTGAAAATTTGGACTTGATTCAATGGCAGGAGGGGAATCTGAACTCTGGGAGAGTCCTGCACCTACTTCAGATGCTGAGCATGTGTGTGTGTGCTGGAGTCCAGGCTACCTACTCTCAAATTTGTGAAGTAGAAGCAGAACTCAGGAGTACAACGGGAATAAATCTCATCCACAAATCCCAGTCTTGGGGACTGAAGATGACTGGTTCAGCTCTAGGTACCAGTATCACGGACACCTAAAACTAGGTAAAATGCACTCCATCCTGTAGGCATCTTTAGTACCCTTGAGGTCTTTCTACTCTCAATCTAGGGTCCTTGCTCCCAGCAGTCACACTGGAAACCAAGTCACCTGGCCAGCTGAGCAGCAGGCAAAATACAGCTGAAGTTGCATGGATGTCACAGCTCCTGATTGTATGCTTCCTGTTAACCTGGTAGTTCAGGAAGTAAATTCGAGGGATATGTTGGTGTATATGTTCCAGCATTGGTAGTTACACAGAAAGCACATTAGCAGTATCATTATTTCATATTGCTGTTGTATTTGGAGCGACTGCTTGTTCTGAGATCCAGACAAAATCTACATGCCTATAGTCCAGGCTCTGATTGTGGTTATCTGCTGTTCAGTGCAGCATAATCTTTTTAGGGAGAGAGAAATTTGGCAGCTGTCACTGTGGTCGGTGTGAAAACTGCTGTAGTACATGAAGCTGGGGCAATGTCTGTGCTCACCTCAAGACTAGAAAGGAGTCCTTACTTTTCCACAATAAGCAGGAAGCTCAATTCCAAGGTTTTCTGGCATTAGGACTATGTCCTGCCATTTTGACTGCTTAGAGCTGTGATGGAACTATGAAGTCATAGGACACACTGGAAAGAGGCTGTCCTTGGTACCCCTGTTCAAATTGACTCTGCTGCTACCACAAATGAGTGGGAACACAAGTCTTGCTGGGTGGTGAGGACTGCCAGAGGGAATTTTGGAAATCTCCTTCAACAGCTTGTGGTTCTGTGTGGCAACTGTCTAAGAAGAGAAGCATAGATGCTGGGTAGTGCAAAGATAATATATCAGACTAAACTGCCGGGATCTTCAGTATCATTTGGACTTGACGTTATAGATAAAACTAGGCGAGTCCAAAGAACTAAAATACCAGTCAAATCATACTTTTTCAAAGGTCTGTATGTACATCTAGGAAAAATAAAACAAAAAAAAATGATAATATGAACAAATAAAGGCCTGAAAAATCTGAAGGATGGTAGGCGAGGAGAGCAAAGAGAAATGCTGATTATATGGTTTGTGATGGATTAACAGGAAACTGCACCATTCTGGTATTGTGAAAGAAAATCATGGGTCTCTGAAATGGATTCCTAATAAATCCAACTAAGAGAAAACTGCTGCTGATAGTCAGCCTGTCGAAACAGGAGAGGCAAAGTGAAAATCTGAGCATCACTAAACAGGTTTTTGCAGAAGGGAGACTGCAGCCTTGTGGTCCTTCTCTGCTAATGGAACTGACCCAGAGCATCAGGGATGCAACCAGCACCCTGGCTCCCTACAGGCAACCCTCAGGTCTTCATTTTGTGATTACTTGGAGGCTTAAAAACCAAGTTCTGGCCTGGATTCCCTGCTAATCTCTCATCACTCCTAATGATATTTTGAATACTGACTTCTTCCGACTCATTGCTGAATTCCAACACAACCTTTACTTGTCTGTAAGGGTATTTTTTAAGGGGACAAACATGCTTGAGTCAGACAGAAAGGTTCTTTCACAAATCTTTGATTTTTCTGTCACTAGGAATAATCACATTGTAGGAGAGCAGTAGTGTCTTGCTTTGGTGTCATTTGCTTTTTCATTTGCTTTTGCTGTTGTTGCCTATTGCAGCAAACCAAGACCAAGATCCTGTGCTGTTACTTTTTGTAGCTTTTGCTGATTCTAATCAAGTTTTTCAGAGTTCCCAGTCCTGTTCTTCTTGGCTGAGCTTATCAGTGTATGTTGGGTTGCTTGTCTTCTTTTTTTTTTTTCTCTTTTTAATTTGTTTTTACTCATACTATTAGAAAAAAAAAAAGCATTTGAGAGCATACGACTCAGTGGGGCATCTGTTTTCAGGACTGAATAATATTATCAGAGTTAAAAATACTGACCATGAAAAGTAAAGTTTGACAACAGCATCAAGTGATCATACAAACACAAGTCCTGCAGAAAGCCAGTGTAAGGGAAGAGGGAGAGGAAGCTGTTGCCTGGGAGGCCTGAGAACACAACAGTAAAAAAACCCTATCTACTGAGACATGTTTCCAAGGAGAAGACTCACTGATGTTGAGCGAAGGAGCAGCTCTTGATGTAAGAGGGATTTGAACCATGGAGATAGGAAGGCAAATATCCTTTTTTGATCTTTGTCTCATTTTACTTCTGTTTAAAGAGCTCAGAATACCAGAGTCCTCATCTTGCCCCCATGATACACATTGGTTGCATACAGAAAATGAGTTAATGTTGCATCGCATGAATATCGTTCGACTTCTTGACACTTTTCATGGTGTGAAGAGAAGTATTTAGGAAGAACTAGGTCTTTTTATCTTGATTGGGAGCAGAGGAATATGGTACGGTAATTCTCATGCATCTAAAATTCTGCACAAAATCAAAGTTCTCTGCATGTCCTTTTTGCTTTGGGTGGCTTTGAATTGGAGATTAAATAACGGCCAGCCAACTGGAAGCTGTTGAGTGTGTGACTGGACTTGTGATGTGCACAGTCCAGAGTTTGTTCTGAGTTAATTGCTGTCTGGTGGGCAACATTACAGACCCTGGAGAACCTAGGACTGAGAAACATGGATTTCAACGAGATCAGGGAATGGAGAGTTACTAAATGCCTCTCTATCAGAAGCCATGGTGACAGAGGCTGTCTACCTGCATACATCAATCATGCATTTGGGAAAATAAATTGAACAGTGGGATCGCGAAGCAATGAAGGGCATCCACAATGCTCTGAAGACTAAGACATTATTCCAAGAACACATTTCTTAAATCACAAAAGTGGATGCCAACTGATAAAATATGCAAGTGTGCGCGTTATAGCACGCAGGGAGGGATATTGTGAGTCTGAATTATTCACAGTAGCCATGACATTGCCTTTCACTGACAGGAGAATTTAATCTCAGTGTCAGAGAGATGTGATATTGAGTTAATAATGGAAAAGTCTGTTTACTGTAGCAAGAACTGGTCACTTATCTGCCTGGGACAGTAATGTGGTTATTTCAAACAGACAAGAGCGCAGCTCTGCACAGGGAGCTATGGTTCCTTCATTTTCTGGCCTCTTTTGACTGACTCAATTTCTTAGGAAAGAAAATTCCGAGTAAAGAAAGTTCTGAAATAAATTCCTATTTTTAATTCTTTTTTTAAAATTTCAATCCAAATTTGTACGCATTTCTGAATTGAATCCAAAAAATACTTTTCATAGTAGAAACTTATTACAGAAGAGACAAAAAAACATTACTATACAGCACTGAAAATTTTAATTTCTACAATATGATGTGAATATATGCTATCCAACCCAAATGAAATCAAATACAACATTAATTGAAAGACAATTTCATCATGAAGTAAATACAGTATTATGTAAATGCAGCAGCAAATTAAAATTAAATTATTGTCCAAAATGAAAAACAAAGCAATTTGTTTAACTTGCAGCTTTTTTATTTGACTTCTCTTTCCCACATAAATGAATCCAAATTTGAATTGCAGTCATTCAATTTACATTTAGACAAAACTGAATTTCTGCTGGCAAAACACATAGCTTGAGTAAAACATTTAGCACCTGTTAAGCAGGATAGCGGTACCCGCTTTTGTGGAGACTGAGATTAGTTGGAGGGTGGCCTCCAACTAATAAAAAATTTTAGTTTTTGAAAACTTAAAAATAAGTTTTAATTATTCATAGCAACCCTAACAATACTTTTCATGGACAACTTATATTAAAACCTCATTGCCTCATGCCCTGATGCTCAGTTATTAACATGAAGAGTGTCTATTAAAGAAAGAAATCATTAATTTAATTGTCACTGAGTGAAAAAAAATCAAGGTGTGTCAAATGTTATTGGACAAAGCCTGATGACATTTGTGCAAAGCTGCTAAGATAAAGAGAAATGGGTCTCCCTCTTGTCCATCCCTGGCTAATTATGCCTGATATTCACGTAGCACCTTTGAGACACAGCCAGTTTTCAGAGGGGCCTGTGAGTTTGGGAGCTGCAAGTGTCTGCCCATTAGTTCTCCATGACTCCTGCTGCCTTGGGCAAGAGCTGGCAGAAAAGAAATAGTTTCACGGTGATCTCTTTCAGGTTGGCAGAGCCTTCATTTTCCTCCTGCCCGTGAATGCCATTTTATATTAAACTTCTTGTCAGCACTAGACGACTCAAGCTTATTTCAACAGAACTTCATTAGTCCGAATTTGACCTCCGTAACCTCTCCTATCACGTAACATAAGATGGCCCAAAGCTCTAAAGTATGTGAGACATGTGAACCTGGAGATGCAATTACACTGACTAAGGGGATTATACCTGGCAGGTAATCACATGGCCAAAGTCTGCTGCTAGTTACACAAACGGAAAAACCAGCTGACAATCACACTGCAGCTGCCTTTGCTCTGCATGTTTGGGCTCTTCCACCTCAATGGGTGCATGAGAGGGGGACACTCACATCATGCAAAACGTGCCCTCTCACAGCCTCGTCCCTGGTTATCTTTTCAGGGCCCCAGCGTGGTGTTTGCAAGGATGTCCCTTATTTTTCAGAGTGCTGGTGTAAGACATCTCTTTGGAAGGATTGCTGTATTCATGGGACAACATGATGTGTGTGCGTTCAGCGACCCAGGGTCAGATGTGATGCCTTGCAGGGCAGGCGGCTTCACTGCAGCCACCCAAAGTGTGCCCTCACACACAGCATCTCCTTTTCAGAGGATGGTTATTAAATATGCAAAGGAGAGGTGGTTATATATATATTTTTTTTTTTTTTTTTTCTAGCAAGTCTTTTGATTCTGACCCATTGTAACGCAACTGCTAGCTCAGGTGCAAGATGATGTGTGACACGTAATGGTTTGGAGAAGACAGGACTACGGCAAATGTTAGTTTTTTCTCTTAATATGTTGAAGAAAAGCCCTGAAAACCTGAAAACAGCTTCAATTTTGCTTTACCTTTGCTCAGTTTCTCCCATTTTTGCCTTGCCATCTTTTCAACAGAAAAGGAGTCTGAAGAGAGATTGTATTTGACACTGAAAAACCACGTAGCAATTCAGGATTTTGTTACAAGCTGCCATCACCTATTCTGTAGCATCGCTTTTTCTGCAGTCTGGCACAGCTGCATTTGCTGGCGAGATGAAATGTTTGGTGTGCAAATGTTTATCTCTTGCTGCTGACTGCAAAAGATTCAATGACTAGAGTAAACTAGATATTTTCTTTTCAGTTGGCTGAAGAGAGGGGAAGAGGGACTCCATCCCCAGGTACACCACTTCCCTGCGTTTTTCTTAAGTTAAAATAATATAATAGTGGTCACTTGAAGGAAAAAACACTGAGTAACCAGCTGGCTCCTGGCAAGCAAATAGTAAAATGGAGAAATTATTCCTACCTTCCTCTCAGTGCAGGCAAAAATTGACCTTTTCTCCAGTTACATGCCAGTTTTCATGAAACCTGTAGGATTGTATTTACTCAGAGGCTCTTTACCTGTCCCTAAAAATTGGACTGAAATTAGCTGATTATTCAAGTCACCAGAAGGAAGAAAGGGAAAACTGAGAGACGGAGTGATGGACAGAAAGTCAGACATAACCTCTGCATAAATCATGTTTATTTTGTTAACAAGGCTAAAAAAAGTGACACAGAGTGCAGTGAGAGTCTGTTTGCTTATTAGCTCAGTCATTTAATCTAGGATTTAGATTTAGAGGGAGGGTGTTAGAAAGTGTGTGGAACTGGAAGTTAATTTCTCATTGAAGTAGCATATGTGTATAGAACATAGACAATATAATAAGTGTACAGTGTTGTTCTTGGTCTCACTGTTCTGCACTGTGGAAAACTGATGCTCTAGTGGCAACTGAACCTCCACCTAAACAGGTAACAATAAAGAAATTACATCTTTAGGGTTGTTCCTTACATTTCTGATAAACAAAAGCAACTTGGTTTTAAGTAACTAACCAGTAATTATGCATAATAATAAATTGAACAGAATATTTGTGCTTTCGCTCAAGCAACTGCCAGGCTGTATGTTCTTTTCTTTTCAATTGTCTGCCTCGGATTTGATTTCGAGATATCTACATGAGCTTATTTACCTGCATATTTCTCACAGCTCAGATAAGGCATTGCAAGAAATTTAATGGCACAAGTTTTTGAACTAGTTCAAAGCTGTGTTTTTTCCTAGGGTGTCCACAGGTGATCCTAAAAGAGTCCCGTGTGACCTCGCCTCCTGTCGCCCTTATCGCACAAAAGATCAATCCTTGTGTGATGGAGCTGTGCAGGTTTTTTCAACTGTGTCTCTGTGTTGGTCAAAGAAGATATTCCAGAAAGGAAGCCATGAGGTAAAATCTGGCACTAGTTTCTCTCTCTCTCTCTGCTCAAAATGCTCCATCAGGCTTTTTCAAATGACAATTTTCAGTCACCAGTGCTTATTTTTGAGTCTGGCTAATGGCTGAGACCCAAATTGGTCCCCAGTGCACCAATCCGTACCTGATCTGGCTTCCAGTATTCAAACTGAGTGAATATAGCTCAGCTGAATTTTTCCAAATATTTAATGACATAGTGAGGTCAGAATCTAGCTTTTTATTTCTGTGTTTGATATTAGCAGTACTATATTAATACAGCTGTGCTTATGAAAGACAACAAGCTACTACTCTCCTAACTTTAACTACATCTTTAGGTACTGTGTTGAATACTATTCCTGGTTCTTGAAAAATGCAAGTTATATCTGTGAAAGAGTCAAAAGAGTTGCTTATTCCCACAGTAAGTATGTTTTCTCTTTATATCTCTGCATACCTTATTATGAAGGACTAACAAGAAGTTTTAGATATCCACAGAGTATCACAGAGTATTTGCTGCCTTTCATCAGATAGATATTTTATCTGATAATTCTTTTTTTAAGAGATTAAAAAATTTATTCAATCTTCATGTATATTTTTAATATTTTCCTCATTAAAACTCTTCTGACTGTAGTTTTCTTGTGTTCTTCCAGCATTAAAACAAAAATGCCTTAAAAACATCTGTACAGCGGTCTAGATCACTGAGGAATTTTACTGCAAATCGGAAGATTGGTGGCAGTTTTAGTCGTCTCTTTCATATCTCAGTGTAAAAATCAGGACACATGTTATTTGCAAATATTTGTAACAAGACAAGCTATTAACCAGATGTTAACCTAGAGATATGTCTTCCTCCACAACATTGTAAAAACAATATGTAAAAACAGATGCACTTTATACAAGTGACGTAACTGCAATAAAAATATTGAAAAGCTTCAAAAATTGTATTTTATAATAGATATTTATATTGTTGGCTAGTGAATGTAAACAGTTTATTCTAGGTTTATTCACGAATAAGATAAAGTAATCAAAATTAACGAACACAAAATAGTTTAAAAGCAACCTCAAATACAGATTACGAGAAGGTGATTTTTTTCCTTGTGTTAAACATATGCCAATTACCCATTATTCCAAATCAAGTGTCTCCCATTACTTCAACAACTCATCTAGTGCAGAGCTCGACCAAGGAGATGTTCACATCTTTTGTACTCTCACCCTGTGATATATTTTTCTGAGCTCACCAAGACTTATGTCTCTACTTATATGCACTGCTGGTGAACTAAAAGCCACTTCTAAAAACTGAAAGACTACTGTGTTCAGTTTTGGGGCCCTCGCTACAAGACATTGAGGTGCTGCAGTGTATCGGGAGAGGAACAACAAAGCTGGTGAAGAGTCAAGAGCACAAGTTTTACAAAGAGCAGCTGAGAGAACTGGCATTGTCTAGCCTGGAAAAAAGGAAGCTGAGGGGAGACCTTACCACTCTCTACAATTACCTTCAAGGAAGTTGTAGTAAGATGAGTGTTGGTCTCTTCTCTCAAGTAACAAGTGATAAGACAAGAGGAAATGGCCTCAAGTTGTGTCCTGTATAAATCAGGAATATTAAACCTGGCCATGGTATTGTAATGCTTTGGAGCGATCTCACACTGCAGCACCTCTCCTCACCCAAGGCAGGATCAGGATGAGTTCTGCTGTGAAGAACTGGGTGAATTACACCCTTATGCAATTTTGTTCCTTTTAAATCACACAGAAACATCTTAAAGCCTGAAGGAATGATTTAAAAAAAATAAATCTATATAGTTTCTTACATTTTCATCATTAAGTTTTCTGAGAACTCAGGAAGAAGGACATGAAAACAAGAACATAAGGGGAGAAAACAATGATTATTGTCAGCTTGACTTTCTGGTCCTTTTAGGTTTGAATTAAAAGACAACATCAAAAGAAAAGTGTTTTTGGAAAAAGCCTACCTTATAAAAGACTTTTTTTATTATTTTAATGAATTTAATCAACTCTTAAGTTGTAGCACTGATCTCCATGCTAAAGGAAACTTTTGTGTTTATAAGAAATTGTTCTGCTTTTTTTTTTTTTTTTTTTTCAGGAAGACAAAGTCATAGTACTAACCTCTCTATAGTGTGATAGAGTATGCCTGAGCCATGTCTAGCACAGGGTGTAGGTCAGTGCCATCTCCACTCTAAGGTCTTGGAAAGGGCTGAGAGCACATTCATGGGGAGAGAATTAGAAGGTATCACATAGTTTTGGATGTCTTGTTAAAGGAGCTGAGAAAGGACTAATGGTACCTGTCCTGAATGACAACCTTCTTGTCACAGTTGTTTAAGACTTACTGTTTGGTTTTCCCAGGAGAATAATGAAAACTAATGAGAAAAACTATGAAATAAGAGAACGAATGAAAAAGCAAGACTCCATGAAAAAAGTGAACACACTGGTTGCCTTCAAAAAAAAAAGGTTTTTCCATATTCCAGGGTTTTCAGTCCTGCAAAGCCTCTGTGCATGTTCAGCAGAAGTACAGAAATGATGTTGGCATATGGGCAATATCTGAGGATTCATGTTTATTATTATGCCCAGTCAAGCCCACTCTGAATTGTCAGGCTGAAAATGTTCATCAAGGCAGTAGTCCGATATACACCACTCAACCAGGATGAAGACATGGACAAAACATTCTATAAGCAGCTGGGAGAAGTCTCACAATCACTAGTCCTTGTTCTCATGGGGGTCTTCAACTTACCAGATGTCTGCTGGAAATACAATACAGCAGAGAGGAAACAGTCCAGGACGTTCCTGGAGTGAAAGTCCTGACATAGTTGGTCAGTGAGACAACTAGGGAAGCCACAACTCTGGATCTGTTGTTTGTGAATGAAGAAGGACTTGTGGGTGATGTGGTGGTTAGAGGTTGTCTTGGTCATAGTAATCATAAAATGACAGTTTTTGATTCTCAGAAAAGTAAGGAGGGGGTTAGTAGAACTGCCACCTTGGAATTCCAGAGGGCAGACTTTGACTTCTTTAGGAGCCTGGTTGACAGAGTCACTTGGGAGACAGTCCTGAAGGGCAAAGGAGTCCAGGAAAGTTGAACATTCTTAAAAGAAGGAAATCATAAAGGTGCAGAAGCAGTCCATTCCCATGTGCTGAAAGATGAGCCGACAGGGAAGAAGATTGTCCTGACTGAACAGACATCTTTGGCTGGAATTCAGGAAAAAAAAGAGAATTTATGTACTTTGGAAAAGGGGCAGGTAACTCAGGAAGACTACAAGGATGTCATGAGGTTATGCAGGAAGAAAACTAGAAGGGCTGAAGCCCTTTATTAGAGGTGAGGGGGAAACACAGTGACAAAAGATGAGGAAAAAGCTGAAGTACTTAGTGCCGCCTCTGCCTCAGTCTTTAATAGTAAGACCAGTTGTTCTCAGGGTACCCAGCCCCCTGAGCTGGAAGCCAGGGACGGGGAGCAGAGTGAAGTCCCCATAATCCAAGGGAAAATAGTTAGTGACCTGCTACGCCACTTAGAAACACACCAGTCTATGGGACCAGATGGGATCTACACAAGGGTGCTGAGAGAGCTGGCAGAAGTGCTCACCAAGCAACCTTCCATCACTTATGAGAAGTCCTGGGTAACTGTAGAAGTCCTACAAAATGTCCTAAAAAATGACTCCCATCTACAAGAAGGGCACAAAGGAGGATCCGGGGACCTACAGGCCAGTCAGCCTGACCTCAGTACCAGGGAAGATTATGGAACAGATCATCCTGAGTGCCATCACGTGGCACGTATAGGACAACCAGGTGATCAGGCCCAGTAAGCATGGGTTTATGAAAGGCAGGTCCTGCTTGACTAACCTGATCTCCTTCTATGACAAGGTCACCTGCTTAGTGGATGAGAGAAAGGCTGTGGACATTGTTTACCTGGACTTCAGTACAACTTTTGACACGGTTTCCCACAGAATTCTCCTGGAGAAACTGACTGCTCATGACTTGGGCAGATGTATTCTTTGCTGGATAAAAATCTGGATAGTGGACCCAATGAGTTGTGGTGGATGGAGTTAAATCCAATTGGCAACTGGTCACAAGTGGTGTTCCCCAGGGCTCAGTATTTGGGCCAGTTCTGTTTAACATCTTTATCAATGATCTGGATAAGGGGATCAAGTGCACCCTCAGTAAGACTGCAGATGACACGCAGTTGTGCGGGAGTGTTGATCTGCTTGAGGGTAGGAAGGCTCTACAGAGGAATCTGGACAGGCTGGATTGATGGTCTGAGGCCAGTTGTACGAAGTTCAACAGAGCTCAGTGTCAGGTCCTGCATTTGGGTCACAACCACTCCATGCAATGCTACAGGCTTGGGGAAGAGTGGCTGAAAAGCTGCCTGGCGGAAAAGGATCTGGAGGTGCTGGTCGACACTCCCATGAACATAAGCCAGCAGTGTGCCCGGGTGGCCAAGAAGATGAATAGCATCCTGGCTTGTCTGAGAAATAGTGTGGCCAGCAGGACTGAGGAAGTGATCATCCCGCCGTACTCAGCACTGGTGAGGTGTTGTGGGAGGTTTACATTGGATATGAGGAAAAATTTCTTCACTGAAAGGATTATCAAACACTGCAACAGGCTGCCCAGGGAAGTGGTTGAGTCACCATGTGTTGTGGTTCAGTCCTACTAGCGGCTCAGCCACTGCTCAGCCCTGCCCTCGGTGCGGGGGAGAGGAGAGAAATGGAACAGAAGGGCTGAGGGTGAGACAGGAACAGAGGGAGCACCCACCGACCATGGCCCCGGGTGAAACGGACTCAGCTCAGGGACAAATCAATTCAATTTATTGACAGTTACTTTAGAGGACAATAAGAAACAAAGCAGATCTTAAAAACAACACGTCCCCCCTCCCGCCTTTCCCTTCTTCTCCCCTCTCCTTCCTCCCCAGTGGTGCAGGGGGACGGGGAATGGGGCTGCAGGTCAGTTCATCATACGTTGTTACTGCCGCTCCTTTCCCAAAGGAGGAGAACTCCTCACACTCTTTTCCCCTTCTCCAGTGGATAACCTCCTCACAGGACAGCCTCCACTGAGCCATTTCTGCCCCATCGGATCGCTCCGGCACGGGCTGTTGCCACAGTCACAGTTCTGAGGGAGCTGCCGCCCGCTCCGCCGTGGGTCGTCCCACGGGCTTCAGATGCGTCTTTACTTCATCCTGAGTGCATCCCTTTCCCCACGCCCTCCCTCAGGCTCAGCCATCCCCGCTCCAGCGCGGGCTCTCCCTGGGCTGCGGTGGGTCTGTGCCCCACAGCCTGCCATGGCTGCGGGGGCCACTGCCCCTCCCCGCGGGCTGAGGGCGATCCTCGCTCCGGCATCTCCTCCCGCCCCACCGCACCGACCGTGGGCCATGGGGCCGTTTCTCTCTGGATCACTGGGCCCAGCGGAACCGGCCCAGGGGTGGGGAGGGGCAGCCCCTGCCGCCCTCTCCTGCCCGCAGGGCCGGAGCACCATTCGGCTCCTTTGTCCCCAGCTGAAATCGGGCATTCACAGAGGCACTGATGGCTGACCCGGGCCTGAGGGGATGGGGGGTCTGACCGGTTTTGGAGCCCAGGAAGTTACAGGGGGTGAATCCCCTCTCCCACTACCAGAACCCTTTCACACAAACCCAGCAGACCATCCCTGGAAGTATTTAAAAGATATGTAGATATGGTGCTTAGGGATATGGTTTAGTGGTGGACTCGGCAA